TATGTATTTTTTAAAAAAAAAATCTTTTAATTAACCATTTTTTAAATAATTTTTTTCACAGATGTTTTTTTTTACAGTAGATTTTTAGAGTTAATTTTAGAGCTGCAACTATTGATCAGTTAATTGATTAGTTGTCAACCACATGTGTAAATATTATATATTGATCTAGATTCTCCTCTTTTGTCGCGTTGACATAATAATGTTGCATCATCTTAATGTTTTGTGTAATCTGAGCTCAGATTTCTGCATTAGTTGATCTAAATTAGTTGTGTTTCTGCATCTTCAGGTCAGGATTTCCCGCCAACACAGAACTGTCATCCTCTCACTTGGGTTTTTTTAAAATTAACTCCACATCTGTCCTCCTCTCAGAGTCTCTCTCGGTGTGTTGGTCCTGGTTTCCCGTCCGGATGAGGATGCGGGGTCGTTCAAACTCGTCGGACGCCGGCAGCGGCTTCGGTACGAACGTGCTGTTGGACCAGAGCGGCAGAACCACGGGTCAAGGATGGCTCGGAGGCAAGCTCCGGAAGCTGCTGAAAACCCCACAGGCTCCACCCAGTGTTGGTGGTGGTGGTGGAGGAGGAGGTGGAGGAGGTGGTTCTGCCACTGATGGACTCCAACCGCTGGAAGAAGAGAAACCTGCAGTCGGTGAGCAGCATCGAAACACATCCAAGAACTGAGCTGATCATCCAAACTAGAAGAGAAACGGACATTTTAGAGTCAGAAAAGACAAACAGATGCTGCTTAGTGTCACTAGCAACCACCTCGGACAAGAACAGAGTCTAATTTTCACTTATATGGTGAAAAAAACACAATTTCAGGAAGAATTGTTGCAGGAACACAGTGTCAGAGTCACTGCAGCCAACAGAAACGACAGAAGTCAGCTGTTTGTTAGACGGAAATGTGACCAGAAATGACATTACAGTATTATTTCTCTGAGGCAGCAGAAAACTTTTATGAGAAAATGAAGGAAATACCAACAGCAGGTAGCAGATATGATGGAAACAGTTGGTTCCTGTCACAGTTGGAGCTGCGTGGTGTCGACATTATGATAAATGACAGCAGTCGTCAGGGTCAAACTACAGTAAAAGGGCATCAACAGGCTTTTTAAAGATTATCTCAGGAAGAATTAAATATATTCAGCTAAAGTCTCATCTTCCTAAATATTCACATTTTTCAAACCAGACGTGGTCGAGCAGAAGTTGCTCTTAAAAACGTGACGAGTCAGGCAGTTAAATTAGATGCATGACAGAAAATATCCATAACTGATGATGAAGAAGGTGTCAAGCGAACGAGATTCCTCCATCCAGACAGAAGCAGCAGCTCTGAGTCTAACCTGCATGTCTTCCTGTTTCTCAGTGAGGCTCACGTTTGAGCAGAACCTGGAGGAGCATCATCTGCTCGAAGCCGACCGGCTGCTGATCGAGCGAGAGCAGCGTCTGTTCGGGGAGATAACCGAGTCTGAGGGCCTCTCACGTCACCAGGAGGAAGTGGAGCAGCTGGCCGCAGACCGAGGAGTCCTGGACACGCTGGTCTTCCAGACTCTGATGCAGAGTTTGTCCCTCGGCCCAGAGGAGCTCAACAACGATGGCAGGGTGTCGGGCCTGACGGTGGCCCTCAGGTCGGCCGTGGAGGCCGTGCAGCTGGAGGAGCAGCAGGACCAGCTGTGGAGGCAGAGCCAGAGACCTCCTCCGTCCTGGAGGCCCTGCGTCTGGAGGAAGCGACACGACTCAGTGCTGCGCCTGCTGGTGGAGGCTCGCCTGGACAACCCCCGGGCGACCCCCACCACCTCCACCAGCACCACGCCGCAGTCGTCCCTGCAGGCCGACATGCAGAGCATGGGCCGGCAGCTGAAGGAGGACCTGCTGGTGGTGGTGACGGTGCTGAAGAGCTGCTACCCTCCACACATGGACATCTGCAACCTGTACGCCCGCATGTACCACCAGAGCTTCGGCGCCAGGCTCAGGAAGATCGCAGACTTCGGCCTGGACGACAAGGACTGCACCTCCCTACTGCTCTGGAGCAACAAGTACTACCCCGGGTGAGTGGAGCAGAACCTGAGTAGCTCTGGGTTGGTTCTGGGCTGTGGTGGTGGACTTGGAGTAGCAGAACCGAAACATGGAGGCATTAATGTGAGTCAGGGGTGTTGCAGTACCGTCTAAAACCTGCAGGACAGGAGCTCACCAGGACCAGATGTAGAGTCTCACCCTTATTATTTGAACTTCTTCTGTAAATTTCTTCCAGGAATCACTTTCAATGTGCATCGTAAATATCGCTGACCTGACTCGACTTTGTCAGAAGAACACTCGAAAGCACTACTCAAATGAGGAAGTACGATAGTGAACGAGTTCCTTAAGCGACAACTGATGCAAAACAAGCAAAAAAAAGTTAGGAATTTAAGCATGAGGTTTGGTTTTAGTGTTCTCAGTCCACACATGAACCATCTACACGACTAGAACTCAGCTCGTCTTCCATTTAGTTTCACTGTTTTACTGTAAAATCTGTTTTTTCTCTAACTGACTCTGTGGAAAAGCATCTCGCCCTGAGGTTGTGCAATAAAGTGTTGAAGATGATTAAATCCAGCAGCTTCTCACGGAGCTTCTCACGGAGCTGCTCCTCTGCTGACACTCCCTGATCAGAACCAGATCACGGCAACAAGTCGCCGCTCGTCTGAAAAATGTGACCTGAAACAACACAGCACACCTCGTCGTTGTTGTTGTTGTCTGGTATCAAAACGTTGACGATGTGTCCTCAGGCGTTAATGGACGTGATGTTTGTTCTGCGTTAAAGGATCCTGCAGAAGCCAGAGCTGGTGAACGAGATCGACGCCGAAGCTTTGGGGAAACTGCTGCCTGACAATCTGGTGGAGCCTCTGGAGGAGCAGTTTCTGAGCAACCAGCAGGTGAGTTAACTGGAAGGACTCGTGACGCTCTGGACGATGTTCTGCTGGGAAACCGGCACCTGAACGTTCCTGCAGGACACATTCACCTCTTTCTGCAGGATGATCCCTCCTGAAACACTGCAAATATGGTTCAGGAATGATTTAATGAACATAGTAAAGAGTTCAAGGTGTGTATTCGGCCTCCAAACTCTCCAGATTTCGGTCACCGAACTTAAAGAATCTGCTGCAAACGTCTCAGAGTCTGGATCCACTCGATGTCAGGCTGCTGGTTCTGAAGTTGTTGATCTAATGTTGTTTTAACAGCAGCAAAATAATTAACATAATCTGTTTATTGTGAGTCTGAAGTGTCGCTGCAGCCCCTCAGTGCAGCTTCACGGTTTTCATTTCTGCTCTTTTTTTTTTGCAGAGCGAGCTGATGACGTACGTCGGCCGAGTCCTGGAGGAAGAGAAGGAGAAGTGGACTAAAGGGGAGGAACCGACGAGGGAGGACGGCTGCTACGTCAGCACGGTGGCTTGCGACATCATTCTGGTACGGCAGTGATAATCAATCTATAATCAATGCTTTCATGATTATTTATCTGTCTAGTGTGAAATCGACGGCGTGGAAGGAGTCGACTTCCAGCAGCTTTCACTTCACTCTCTCAGTTTCCAAACAGCAGAAAAACACCTTTAAAATGAAATGAAAACTTTATTTATGTGTTTTGCCGTACAAAAAACATCCCAACCAGTCAGGCCAAATGGAAAAAGTAAAGTCAGAAATGAAATAGAGATATAAAATGGAATAATTTATTTTTTTCTGTTTCATTCAAGTCATGCTTATACATGTTTATAATACACACATTTTTTTCAGCATTTAAATAATTCTCATTTTCACAAGCTTCAGCATTAATTCCATAAACTTTATATAAACTTTATTGATGCTGACAAACTTGTGTCAGAATCATGAAACAATCATTCAGTGCAGTGAAGCGTTTTGCTCGTGAGCTTCAGAGCAACACGTGCAGGATAATGTTTGAACTTTCACATGTCAGCTGCAGCCAAACTGCAAACTTTGAGGAAAAATATTAACCAACAAGGAAGTGAACGGGATTTAATCGGGGGAAACACTTGTTGGAAACTCACATGTTGCAGGTTAATAAGTGAAATAAAGTCACCGGCTTTAGCATCTTTGTGTTGGTTTGACTGTTGCTGGATGTAAAACAGTCAGAAAAGAGCTTTACATGTTCATGTTTATAATCTTTAGCTCATCAACGGCATGGTGACGTCAGCGCAGACCATCACAGGAGACCTGCACAAAGCTCAGAGCATCACAGGACAACTCAAAGACCTGATGCAGAGGTAACAGCATCGACATGTGGGTTTTAAAAGGCAACATTCGTGTTTTAAACTGAGCAAACTTATGAAAGCTGTCCGTTCCATCTGCTGCAGGTACAAAGCGTTTCACGACAGCGTCATCAAACAGAACAGAGCGAACAGCAGGGCGCTGATCAAAGCCAACCTCGGCTGCATCCAAGACTTCAGGTTCGTCTCTGATCTGATGAAATCACGGATAAGTTCTGATTAATTCTTCGCTGTGAGTTAACGTGTCTCGTGTCTGCAGGGACTTCCTGGTGAAGAAAAGCCACCTGTTCCCCAACAACGTGCGAGAAAACTGCCTGAGCGTCCTGAACGACATGAAACAATCCGCTCACACGTATTTAATAAACCCCGTGCACAAAGTTCTCAAGGTGAGTTTGTTGTTTCAGATGTTTTAGAGTCAGTTTCTGCATATTTTCACTGCGATGTAAAGTCCAGCACCACAAAGAAGGAGACAGAACTCAGAAATGAGTCTGAAGCCATAAATCATTGAAAGAGACCAAAAAAACTGGCTGAATTTCTTTCTAAATTAAAATCCACGTGGAGTTTGGCTGACAAAGAGTTACACGGCATTGAAAGAATGCGCAGAGATCAAATTAAAATGGCTAAATTAAAAGGAGACTACATCAGCATCAGCGTGTACAATGTGTGAACACAGCCTGCAGTTCAGCCGAGAAGTTGTTCAATTTTTATCACGTGATTCTTAGTCGCAGCTGAGTCGCTAATGGCTTCACAGCTGCACCGAATTACACAATATTTTTTGTTTTTAACAGATTCTTGTTAATGCAGATTCATTGTTTTTGCTAATTTTTTTGAATGACACACATAGAATAGAATGATTTTCATGAAATATCACGATTTTCAAGCTGCAATTTGGGTGTTTTCTCTGGTTGGAGCACCACGTGACAGATAACTGTTTCATGGAGCGTCTGAAAACTGGAAAATCTGATAGTTTTTTTCTGGTTTTATAGTTGGTAAAATTTGGGCAATTAAAGGATTATCTGAAATCTCAAACAAGCTGGTTTGTTTTGGGGACCGAAGGGTTAAAAGCAGTTTTCTTACCGTCAATAAGTTTCACAAAATCTTATAAGTAAGTATAAAAATCCTGATATATGTTCTTCCTCAGGTCAATTTTCATGTTAAAAATCCATTAGTGATCTTAACTTGTTGCATTAATTTATTTAGACTCGATCCTAAAAATCCACCAGAAACCACTAGCTGTGTATCCCTCCGCTGATGAAAATAGTCCCCCAATAAGAGCACTGTTTCCCTCCATTTTTGTTTTTGGCTAAAATAAGAACAGGCAATTAAATAAAAATCCTTCTGTGTGGACCTCCCACAGCCCCAGTACCAGAAACTGGGAACCAGCGACTGGCTGAAGAAGAACTTGTCCGAGAAGCTGCTGATCAGCATCGAGAAGGAGCTTCTGGAGCTGCAGGGTTCGGCTGCATCATGTCAACAGGTAACGAGAAAGAAAGAAAAAAACTCTTTTATTTCTGGTTTTGGTTTTTTTTGAACACGTGCAGCTTTAACATGTGTTCACTGACTTCAGGAGCTGATGGGTCGGCTCCACCAGGAGGTGACGGAGGAGTACGTGAGGAGGCTGCTGAGAGGAGACGTGAAGCTGAAGGACAGAGAGAAGCAGCAGAAGGCTTACGTGACTGTGAAGGACGACGCCGAGGGTTTGCACAAGCTGTTCAGCAGCATGGTGAGAGCTCAGCATCACTGACTGTTACTGGAGCAGCAAGTCTGGGCTGGAAACCTGCAGGACAAAGACTAATAAAACCCACTAGAGTTAACATGAGTCAGTTCATATCTGTGATGCAACAACGAGTCGGAACAACTGCAAACTTTTTGCATTGCATCACAGTTTACATTGGAAAATAACACAAAAACCCCTTTAATTAATCAAAAAATGGCAATTATTTCCATCAAGCACATACTTTTCATACAGTCTTCCACCATCACGCTTCTAATATTATGAAAGAATTACAAAAAATATCTCTAATGTCGACATTTTACGGTGAGATTTACACAAAAACACAACAATTTAATGGTACAGAATATTGTTTGTTCAGGCTAATATGAAAATAATCTGCATGTTTTATGAGATCAAATGATCAGAAGCAGAAGCAGGATCTGTTTTATCGCCTGGTAGGTTTCCACAAATGAGAAATTTGACGTCATGTTAATAGTAAACATAACATTTTAAAAGTGAATTGACAGTAAATGCAGCAAATTTCCGGGATTAAAAGGAGTCAAAACTAAAAGAAATATTTGAAATATGATGAAAGATGTGGAAGCAGGTGTAATTAGTCTTTATATTAACCAAGATAAGAGTTTAAAAGTAAATAAATAACCATGAAAGTAGCCCATTGGCCTCATAAACATCACCACATTAAAAAAAAATCACTCCAGATGTCAAAATAATAACATGTTATCCAGGACTGAGCCATTATCTGAGTATTAAATATCAGAAAACACACATAAATAAAAGATACTGATCATTTAGGATGATGATAATAATGTCGTAGCTTTTCTAAGCTGTACGTTTTGCAAATCACGTGTGGCCAGTATTTTCATCAGCTCGCTCTAAGTGTGTTTTATTACTTCCTTGAACAGCTTTTGTGCCAAAAATGTTTGATATCGAGCGTTAAATGTGGGTTTTCAATGAATAGAATGTCTGTTTATCTGAAAGCGCATCAGCGAGGTGTGTGATTAAGAGGAAACTCCAAACAGCTCATGAAACACGAGGTCACTGCTGTAGGAAGCCGTCTGACGTTACCGATTTGTCTCCTCAGGGATCGCAGGAGGTCTGGCTCAAGGAAATCCTGACCAAGATCGCAGAAGTGCTGAAGCTCCAAGACGTTCCAGCCATCCAGATGCAGATCTTCTCACTGGGATCTGATTATCCCGACCTCAGGTAGCCGTCAATTAAAATGTGTTTATTCAAACCTGTTTAATCGAGCGAAACTGACCCAATAAGGACAGAGCAGCAGCACGACAGCAGCAGTTTACACGACCTCAGAGCCAGAATAAACAAACCCGGTTTTCAGGCAGCAGAGGAAGTGAACGGAGCCAAACATCTCCGGAGAGGTCAGATGTTTCCTGGCAGCAGGATGAGCTGCGTTATGAGAATAACTGTGAGCTACAAGCAGCTTATCTGGAAAAAGTTGTGCGCTGACACAATAAGCAGTAAATGGTGCATTAGCTTAGCTTAGCATAGAGACTGGAAACAGGGAAACCCATCTACCAGCAAGTCCAGAGCTCAGGAATTAAAATTTGACATCCAATTATTTGTTCAATCTGCCCTTGAACTAATAGGAACAACTGTATCTGTCAATAATTCATTTTTTCAACACATTTTTTGACCAATTTGCTGTTATTCTACAGATTTTTCCAATGAAACTATGAAAATCACAGAGGAAAAAATATATTAATTTACATGTTAACTTCAAAAATAGGATAAAACTTAGAACCCCATCAAAAATCCACATAAAAAAAATAGGGTTAATCTTCCGTAATATTTGAACATAAAACTACACAATTTTAAAGAGAATTTAAATTGTAAAAAAAAAAAAAAAAAAAAAAGATTAAAAAGAATGTACAGATATTTGTCGTTATTTGAAACAATAAAAAAAATTATATTGAGGATTGAAAAAATAGAGAATAATTTTTTCTACTTATTATCATTACACTTGTTACTTTAAAAATATTAATTAATTAATAATTATTTACACGTTGATTGTTAAAAAAAAATACAAATAAAAGTACAAATAAAAAGGCCAAAAATGTGAATAATGTTGACAAAAATTTTGCAAATAGTGATTTTTAAATTTTTTTTATAATGTTCAATTGTTTTGTTTGTTTGGTTGTTTGTTTTTTACTGTTCTTAAATTGGCTAAAAATAGATTTTACAGAGATAAAATTTATAAAAAAAATGTAGGTTAGGGATTGAAAAGTGGTAAATAATTGTTGTTATTTTATACATTTTCTCTGTTATGTTAAATTACAGATGATACAAAATTATAATAAAAAAAATAAACAGCCAAAAAATTTAAATAATGACCAAAAAAATCTGTCTTTTTACTGTAGTGTTTCTGCAGTTCTCATGTCTGCTAAAAATAGAATTATCTTCCATTATTTGAAAAAAAATAAATTATATTAGGGATTGAAAATTGGTAAATAATTCTTGTTATTTCAAAAATTTTCTTTGTTTTGTTGAATTACACATAATGTGTAGTAAAATTGCAGAAAAGGATTAATTTTTACAAAAATATACAATTTTTTAACTGTATTTAAATCAGCTAAAAATATAATTTACAGACATTTGTTGTTATTTTCACCATTTTTAGCGTTTTTTTAACGTTAAAGTATTCCCCTATATGTTAACTTATTGTTCAGGCATCCTGCTACCAGATTTTTACAATTTATTATTCACATTACTGATAAATACATCAGATCAACACAGGCTGATTTTTAAAGAGCACATATGATATATTTATTCAATATTTCTTCCCTGTTCCAGCAGTGTTCTACTTTACTGTTTGTTTTTGTGCATGTAAAACTTACAAATACATCAAAACTGATATTTTTTTATTTAAAACTTGTGCCCAACATCCACACTAATTTCTACGTTTGTGGTAATAAATAATGAACGTAATGTACACACATGATCGCCACGTAGATTTGTCATTCAACCTTCTTCTCTCTCTTTCTGCCCACAGTGAAAAACAGGTTTCGGCTTTGCTCAAACTCAAGACGACTCTCAGCCGGGCCGACAGGAGAACCGTCAAAGACACTCTGGTGGACGCTTTGAAAGAAGCCAACGCTGACGCCAACACTCGGCCGTTCTTCTGCAAAATCATCGTCAAATGAAAATGTGCACTTTTCTGGGTTTTTTGTGAACTGAGGGGTTTAGTTACTGTATGGACACGTGAGTTACTGCCACCACGCTGCTGGCAAATATGGTGCTTCTCACAAATCTGCTCTGTGTGAGGGAACGTCTGATTGTTTTTTATTTTTATATCAAATCAGTGCTAAAGTTTGTTGTTATTATATCATCTTTTTCTTCTTTATGGAAGGGGACACACGTCTGATGTACATAATATAATGTAAATTAAATTTATAAATAAAGTTTAAATAAATCTGAAACCTGCGTGATCTGACAGTGATTTACGGAAAATCTTAAACCCCATTGCACATTTTGCACACGTCTGCTTTTCATTTAAATCAGCTTTTATTGTCATTAGATTTAAAAAAAAAACCTAACAGAGGACTTGAGGAGGTTCATGTACATAAAATAACCCAAAAAATGCTAAATACATGCATCAGGTTGTCTGTCAGGGTTTCACTACACTGCATAAATTTTACCCTCTAACTTTACGAACATTCCAACGCAGCTACTGAGAAGTGTTACATCATGATGCTGCCACCACCATGCTTCACGTCATGATGCTGCCACCCCACTAGTGGGGATTTTGTGTTCGTTGTGATGTGCAGTATTTGGTGTCCACCAAGCACACCGTTTAGTCTGTCGGCCAAAAATCTCCATTTTGGTCTCATCAGACCACAGAACCTTCTTCCAGGTGACTTCAGAGTCTCCCACTTGTCTTCTGTTGAACTCTAGTCCAGATTTAATCTGAGCTCTTTTTTCCCTAACAGAGTCTTTCTCTTTGTCTCCCATAAAGCTTTGATGGTGAAGAACAGACACCAGTTGTTGTATGAAAAGTTCTGAACATCTGAAGCTCCTTCAGAGGAGTCATAGGCGTCTTGGTGGCCTCATTCATTGGACTCTTTCTTGCTTAATATTTTAAAGACATCCAGCTACTGGCAGACTTACACATGTGTCATATTTCTTCCATTTTGTAATGATGGATTTAACTGGACTCAGCGAGATATTCAGTGGAAATTTATAGACTTATAGAGGATGAGAATGCGTTTAGCTCTGAAGGTATTTGGCCATAAAACAAAACGCTAGACAAGTTAACATCAGCTGAGGACACGACATTAAAAGCCAGAGGAGTCATTAGAATTCCTCTTTTGAGTGCCAATAGTTTTTGAGATTTGAGCTCAATCAGAAACAATAGATTGTCCGACCAGCAGTTCTTCCAGAGTAACACAGTTCTTAATTTCCAGAAACAACAACTTGGCAGCAGGAGCGTCTCTCTGAAGCTGTTTCCCAGAGACAGGTCAGAGGTCGCTTCGAGCTAACAGAGACCTCATCAGGGGAGATTTAAAACCTCTGCTCCTTCTATTCTAGCACCATCGAGAAACCCGTCTCAATGTGATTTACTCGGCAGCGAGCAGCCAAAGTCGACCTGAAACAATTCTGGGAAATCATTGAGCCCCTTGTTTGGGAATCGAGGTGTTTCCAGTGTGTTATTTCAGCGTCGGAGCTGCAGCTAGCGGCCGTTCATCAAGGCAGGGGAAGGATGTGAGTCTCCAGGGCGTCGAGGCAAATTACTGTCAGCGCGCGGGTTTTTCCTGGACGTCTGTTGGTGCTGGTGTCCGAGGAAGGAAGCTGGAGGAGCTGGAGTTTCTTCTGGAGAGCAGAGGGAGTGAAGCTCATTAAAGCTCATTAAGGAGGGACTCTGATGGGAATCACCAGAATGACCAGAAGCTGGAAGCCCCCCCCCGCTGCCTTCCTGCTACACACCGTCACAATAATATTACATTTTTTCCATGTGATTGATGGACACCCCCCACACAACTTTTTCTTTTATTGTCATTTATTTAAATATATTTAATTTCACTCGTTTATTTATTTGGACTTTTTTGTATATTGTGTAAAAACAAAAAAGCTAAATATTGCTCTCTGATTTTTTCGAAGTGATGCAAAAAACAATAACTGTGAAATTTATCTGTTTTCATTGTCTGAAACTTTCTGTCCTTGATGTGCCACATTTTTCAATTAAAATATTATTTTAAGAAAACAAACAAGTGCTTTGCAATAACACACGTCAAATTAGACAAATAATAGGAAAACAATTCCAAGAAATCCCAAACTTTAAGAGCATAAAACAGTCAAGTTGAGGCTTTTATTAAAGCCACTGAGTCAAAGTATTTCACAGTAAAACAGTCAACAAACAAGAGTAAATAATAATCAATTTTATATGATGGATTAAAATCCTACAAAATCCTACTTTACCTGATCAATCAGAGCTGTCTCATAAGTGTTAAGTTTTATCCTCAGTGTTATGTCCCTGTGAGGTAGGGGATGAGGAGAGTAACACGAGTAAAATGAAAACTGGGTTATTGGACCAGGAAACTGATTGTTCAACAAAAAGTCTGGTTTATTTTACAAACAAAGGAAAACAAGAATGCAAACTAGAGCGAGCTTCCTGGAATAAAAGGCGACCCTACGATCACCAAACAGCGCAACAACCACAGAGTCCCCAGAGTGGCTGAAGCCAGGCTCAATACCACAAACGCCTCACTGCTCTGTCTGCCGATTCAGCCCACTGGCCACCATGATCAGGCTGGCTCAGCTTTTCAACCGTCTCTTGATGACCTGCACCTGGCCACTTCCTCTGGGCACCACCTGAAAGGGATTCACACAACCGACACACCAATACTCGGCACTAAGGGCCGTAACACTCATCCATCCATCATCTATACACCGCTTAATCCTCACTAGGGTCATGGGGGGCTGGAGTCTATCCCAGCTGACTCAGGGTGAAGGCAGGTTCACCTGGACAGGTAACCAGTCTATCACAGGGCTACACTTAGAGACAGACAACCAAGCACACTCACATTCACACCTACAGACAATTTAGAATCACCAATTAACCTCAACATGTTTCTGGACTGAGGAAGGAAGCCGGAGAATCCGGAGAGAACCCACGCTGCACGAGGAGAACATGGAGACTCCACGCAGAAAGATCGCGGGTGTCCTCACCAGGACACGAACCAGCGACCTTCTTGTTGCGAGGCAACAGTGCTAACCACTGATCCACCTTGCAGCCCCCGTAACACTCAGGTTTTAGCTAATTTATCTCACGTATCTCGACTCGTAAAACCTAACTGCTCTATGATGTGTACCTTTTTATGGCTCCCTGCCTAAAATTTCAGATTATTCAACATGTTTTGGTGAGTGTTTGTTAATAACGTGGGTTTGGGCCTTTTAAAATACGGAAAAACTCATAAAAACAAGTACGTATGGAGGGAAAAATAGCAGGTTTTACCAAAATCCTCATCATCAGGCCTTGACAACATCTGGAAAACAGAGTGTTGGTTTATAATCTATATAACATTTAATATCCTATAATCTGTGTTTATATATATTTAGAGGAGATGAGGCAGCTCAAAATACAGAGATAGGATGAACCTCTTCCAACCTGAATCTCCTTTATGGAGGCCTGAGGATGTAAATATTTAAATATGAATAAAGATGAAACAGACCTTGTGCAAGAACAATAACAGTATTCCTTCCTGCTCTTTAAATCATCCAGAGAAGCCTGTGATTTATACAAACTCTTGCTATGACCCTCAGAAGTTCTCAGTGTTGCCTCCCTCTAGTGGACTTTATCGGCGACACGATAAAAACACAACCAACAACACGGATTGTTAAGGAATCACAGGAAGTTTATTGATCACATTAGCAAGAAAAAAAAAGGTGCGTTTTCTACCCTGGAACCATTCTAAGCAACAGAATCATCATACAGAGTACAGAATGTCACATTCAAATAGCTGTAAATACACCAAAGCATAAAAAAGGGTCTGAAAAACGGCATTTTAACCATCACACAGGAAGCACCGTCTGGTTTCAGTGGAATGCATCAGTTAGACGTTTAGCAGAAAGTACAGCAGACCTACACCCTGATTTTTTAAGAAAATACGATTTAAAAATGAATAAAAATAAAATAAAACAACATCTCAGATTTTAACGGAATCTGTCGTTCAGGTACAATTAGCGTGTGCCACTCAGTTAACGGGAACATCTGAGCTTTTAATAAAGTCTAATTATTTGATTGATGGGGGATTTTTTTTTGTTTGTTTGAATTGTACATCCATATAAATAAAACCTAATAAATATTGAATTAATAGTAAAAAAAAGACAAAAAATGTCAGTGCATCTTCACCCTCTGAACTCCAAAGCAATGTGTTCCTTTTTTTTTTTTTTTAAATCCTAAAAATTACACCGCTTATCACAAATAAATCATCAGTTTTAAACTGATCATGACGATATCTTGTGTGATGTATGGTGCAGTCAGGAAAAATAGATAAACAAAGGGTTAAAATTCTTCAAAATCATACATTCAAAATATTAAAAATATTTAAAAAATAAGGCACTTGCATGAACCAGACTCTGTTAAAAATAATAATATTAATATTTTGTGCTCTTCTGTGCAGCTAAGAAGCCCCTCAGCTGCAATTAAAAGTCACCTGACAACATTTCAGAGACTGTTTGGTTGAGCCTCAGGCAGAGAAGAGAGGAGACGAGTATATAAAGGAGATTTTATCAATAAAATAAATGCAGCATGAGTAAAAAAAAAATCAAATTTTTAAAAAAAGCTGAGAGTAGTGTAAAAGAGCATTTAGTTTGCAGAAGCTGTGAAACGTTTTTTTTTCTTTTCATCATTAGAGTTCAAGAAACAAACTCAACACATGACCTCGTGCTTTGTTTTTGGTTTTTGCACAATAACAATGAAGTGCAAACATCTTTAAATCTCCACAACTTGAAGATTTTAAAACGCAACCATGTAAACAACATAAAAAACAAACTATAAAGCCAACATATACTAGTACGTGGTCCTAGTTTATTTTTATTTATGTGATCAGGGACCATGCACTTTCACACAGAAAACATCTGATGTATTGCGCATAGAGTGTAAAGCATTAAGCTCATTTTCAACTCCTGTCCCTGGTTTAGGTTTGCTTTAGTGACAAACCAGACCTCACATTACCTTTAAGGAATTAATTCATTTTTCTTGTTTTCACCGTTCTGTGTCTACTACATTGAAGACATCTGAGTTCTCTCTCTTTCATGTTGCTCTGTTTTCCTGGACTTCATATTGCAGTAAAACATGAGCCCACAGTGAGGAAAAACATAACAAGAGCAAAAAAAAGAGGAAAAAAAGCCCAGAAACTGCTCATAGTTCAGACGGGGTTTTTTTCAGTCATTTGAGCTTAAGAAAAAACTCAACGTATGACCTCGTATTTTGTTGCACAAAACAATAAAGTGCAAACGTATTTTCAGCATCTTTGAATCTCCACAAAGCTAAACTTGAGGATTTTAAAGTGCAAACAAGTGAACAACCTAAATAAAAACTATAAAACCAACATATACGTGGTCCTAGTTTAGGTTTGCTTTACTGACAAACTGGACCTCTCATCACCTCATAGTTCAGAGGGTTCTGTTCTTTTGTCATTGGAGCTCAAGATAAACACTCAAATTCAACATATGAACTCGTGTTTTTTTTTTTTTTTGCACAATAACAATAAAGTGCAAACATCTTTAGGCGTCTTTAAATCTCCACAAAGAAAAACTTGAGGATTTTTANGACCTCTCATCACCTCATAGTTCAGAGGGTTCTGTTCTTTTGTCATTGGAGCTCAAGATAAACACTCAAACTCAACATATGAACTCGTATTTTTTTTTTTTTTGCACAATAATAATAAAGTGCAAACATCTTTAGGCGTCTTTAAATCTCCACAAAGAAAAACTTGAGGATTTTTAAGCGCAAACCAGTAAACAACCTAAAAAAAACCTATAAAACCAACATCTGGTCCTAGTTTAGGTTTGCTTCAGTAACAAACTAGACCTCACTCTACCTTTAAGGTATAAATAATGAGTTCTTTGCAGTATAGAACTGAGATCAGTGACATACATGCTGCATGCAGCCTCTCGTACACAAATACAACTTGTGCTAAAGCTCATACCATCTATAACTTCTCATCATCTGAGTCTCAACATCAGAGCTAACAAATGAGTAACGGAGTGATGCGAGAGCTCACAAACTATTTTAACTGTCGCCTCTTGGATGCAGCTGAGCCTCTGCGGAGAAGCATCACCAGCAGGGCAGACAGAAGAACCAGGATCCGGAACCGGCTACGGGTCGGCCGCTGGGTAGAGCCTCCATCACCTCCCTGACCTGCCGCTTGGACAGACCCTTCCATCGCAGCAGAGCGGGCAGCAGTGCCAGGTCCTCGCTGTGGTCAACAGGAAAAACAGCAGCAGATTAGAAACGTGCAGTTCCTCTGATGACCACTAGGTGGAACCAGGTTCTAGAACTAAAGGACCTCAGGTGTGTATGAAAGCAGCGGAGGTGCATAAAAAACTGGTCGTCTCCCAGTTTGTACGCGACTACAGCTGTTTTTATCAGGATTGGTCACAGTGAGCGAGGAACGTTCTCACGTGCAGAGATCTGTTAGTCTGTTAGTATTTACTGCAGATAATACACTTTGATTTGGCAAAAAACTGAGATTTCCATGTATCCTTCATGAAGGGACAGTTTAAATGTTAGAAGTTTAAGAGCTTTGTTGATTGAAGGAGGCGTATAGGTTTTGTTGAACCAGCTGACTCAAAGAAAGCCTGGATATGCTAAACTTGCGTCGGAGTGCAGCCCCCTGCTGGAAACCTCATGAAGCTGGTTGAGAAGATTCAGTGTGCAAAGTTATTTTACATCTTTTCTCACATTAAGTCTCTCCACTTGAGTTATTTTACGAAGAAAAGCATCTGACTGGTGCATAATAAATACCATGAGACAGCTCTACCTCTGCTTGTTGCACTTTTTCTCGATTTGCGCCACCGTCATCTTCAGCGCCTCCATGCATTTACACTCCAGCACCTCGGGGATGTCCAGCAGCATCAGGTTCCACTGTTGGACTCCAGGCGCCTGATAGAACGCAATAAACACACGCTGGTCAGGAATTAACATCAAATAAGAATAAATCTCACGGCGGTGTTACAGCAGCAAGGAGGATAGTGCACAATTATAGAAATAAATACATAATACAGTATTGTTGACAGATTCTTCTATATGTAGAATGTCTGATGTTGTACGAGTTTTTCTGAATGTGCAAATTGAGAACACATATCTGTATACTGGTAAACAATGGTATTGCTCAGATTACTCCATGCATAGAAACACTAATCTAAGAACTAATGGTATTGCCCAGATTTCATCTATGTTGCACAGAATCTTCCCAACTTCAAGTTATTTATGTTTTTGTGCGGTTTGTTTACATCAGTGTTGTGTAACCACAGGATCAAATCAGGTCTATATTTGCAATTATGGTCACAAAATGCTCATATATTATCAATTTAATGCTAGACAGTGAGTCGATTTTAACACTGTAGGTTCATTAGGTAAAATTTGCATTTAATAATCCCACAGGGGGAAATTTGTAGTGTTACAGCAGCACAAAGGACAGAGCACATGTGCAGAGAAGATCAGTAGAAAACAGAAAAATAAGCAAGAAATATCTGTTGATGTTGTAAAAATTCTTCCATATGTAGAAAGTTTGATTTTGCACAGGTTCTTCTGGATGTGAAAAGTGGCAATATTGCACATATCTGCATATTAAAACAATAGTTTTGCACATATTGTTTCATGCACAAGGAAACTAAGAAATAATGATGCTGCACAGATTTTATCGGTGTTGCAAAGGTTTCTATAGTTTAGCATAAAGACTAAGTGGATGTTAAGATTTGTCCTCAACACGCCGTGTGTCTGCAGAGTGTAGCGCCATCGTGTCGTCTCACCAGGTTGCTCATGGTTCTGTGAAGCTGCTTTGCGTCCTCTTGGACTGTTTGCTCCACATTCGGGCTCCAGCGCTGCTTCAGTTTGCGCCGGTTAGTCTGGATGAGGTGCTTCAGGTAAAGGTGAGCGACGAGCTTATAGGCCTGATCCACCACTCGCTGAGAAACACAGAGACAGTTTAATTTAATGCAACTCTGAATATTTAGACTCAAAAACATGGAAAAAATGGGGGAGTCGTTCACCTTTAGTTCATCTGAGACGTACGACAGTTTGGGGAAAAGATTCTCCAAAGCAGCAAAGAGGTAGCACCGCCTGCTGTCTGACCTGAAGTATTTTTTAAGGTGGCTCTGCAAGACAGAAACACAGGAACACATGAGCAGACTGTCATATAGTGGAGTTAAGCCAAACTGTATATGTGAGGTGAAGCTGAGAGGACACCTCTGCGATGTCGACTATGATTTCCATCAGAAGCTTCAGAGTAAAATCCTCCATGTCTTTAAGAGTCGCCACGATTTGGTCGAGAAGTGAAGATTCGACGCCTCTGCCTTCAGCCTCGACGTACTGCCTGTAAACAAACAGAACAAACAGAGTAAATGAAGCATGCATCAACATTGACGATCGCTTCATCTTCGTCTTAATTAATGAGGATCTAAATTTCAGCAGCCACCTCTAATCCCACTAAACTTTTATTCTGAAACTGACTTTGTCTCAAAGCAAGATTTAGGAACACTCATTCATGCTTTTATTGTTTGGAATCACTTTTATTTTGTAAAGTCTGGTCTAAACTGTCAACACTTTTATACAATCAATTTGAATAATCTTCTTTTAATTTCTGCTAGATTTTTAAATGCCTTATTCTCTTATCTTTGCAGTTTTATTTTTTTTATTTGTGTACACTTATTTCAAATTGTCTGTACTGTTTTACATTAATTTCATTCATTTTTAATTTGTTTTGTTTTATTTTACATTTTTCTCTCCTTCTATTTTGTGCTGGTAAAGTACAATATAGAAAAAATAAATTAAATAAAATCTAGCATGCTTGCCTAATCAGTCACAGGGCTTTAAAAAAATTTGTTTTGTGTCTTGTTTGAAAAATAAACCAGAAGGTATTTTCTTACACAAAATAGAATTTATAGAAAAAGGCTCAAAGTTCTAGTTTTCATTCGTTCAAGCTGATATTTCAATTAAAGTGGGATCTATTGCCAGTTTTTAAATGTTTTGATTATTTACATTTTTATTTATTTATTTAATTTAGAATAACGAGGACTATTTATTTTTATTTCTATATTTCTTACTGTATGGCGACGCGATTGAAGGACATATGCAACAGAGCTTTCTTTCTTTCTTTCTTATTAGTAATATCTACTAAAGAGACACAGATCCAGAAAAATTCTCACCGGAGTTCTTTACAGGTTTTCAGAGTCTTGAGGAAGTGAATCGTTTCTGGTGGGTCCATTTCTGCTTTATTTCCCAGAAACTCCTTCTTCTCTGCAGTGTACCTGCAAACCAAAACACAAGGTTTAAAAAAAAACACAACTTTGGCTGGTGATACTTGCATTCAGCGCAAAATAAAATCCTCAGAATTTAAGTCAACCTTTTACTTCTGGAGGGAAAACTAAAACTCTCACCTCAGCACAAACGTCAGCAGCTCTCGGAAACAGACCTCCTGCACCTGGTCGTGCAGCTCGGAGCTGATTGTTCTTGCAGTTGTGGGCTTGGCAGCAACACACTGTAAAAAAAATAATACATAATATTAATATACAGCAAATAAACAGACAGAAAAAAAACATAAAATCGCTCTCAGAATAATGTTCTCTCAGACGTTCTTCTTGCCTGAATCGTGTCCACATAAAGCCATACATAGGCTTCCACGCTGTCACAGCGCTGTTGGCCTCTTTCATTCTGCAGGATTCCGCTCAGGATCCCTCTGATCTCTTTCTGTTGACGGCAAAAGACCCACAAATTTATAATTAGCTGCTTTTTAACAAAAAAACATGCAGTCGGAGATGTGCTACAGGAAACTGCTTGCTTAGAAACAGAACGTTTATGATTAAAACTTTTACCAGCAAACTATTTTGGAAACAATCAAATTTTAATGAATATCATGTATAAAAACTTTTGGCTAGATGGTCATAAAATGTGCTGCAGACATTCACGTCCGTCTGAGGATGAACCGGAATCACATTTAAATTTCACTTTTCCAACCAAACACCTGTAAAACCAAAGCTGTGTTTTGCATCTGTTGCAAAAAGGCCAGTAAGGTCAGATCCTCCTTTTTCAATCAAATGTTCCTCCTCCATTGATATTTTCAAGAACAACCCAAAGGTGTACATGTTTTCCAACGAGTTTGCTTCTTACCTGCACATGCTCCAGCAGTTTCGTCTTTGCCTTTACTGCCCATTGGCCGAGGAGCTGCTGGTCAGGACGGCCGAGCGCCTCATGACTGTCAAAGAACCACAAACGCCAACGTGAGAACCGAGAACTGGCGTGTTCTTTCACTTCTGTAACTGCGTACTTTTTGGAGATAATATGCCAGATAGAGGCAGATGAATGGGGATTTCAAAGGGCAAGGTGGATGCCACAAATTGTGCATATGTTCTAAAGCGACTGGAATATAAACTATTAATGTTCACAGAAATAGAGTCGTGACTCGATAATCCGACGCTAAACGTAAAACCTTCTTTTATGTCGGATAGCAAGGCTGTCGGATTGTCAAGACGGAGGTGGAGATACGAGGAGGGCTTGATGCTGGAAGGGTAACTTGTCGTTAATATTAATTGTTCATGGTTGTTATAACAACTAGTGCATTGTTAGAACACCACACATTGCTGGATTTCACGCCCAGTTGACCGGTCGGTACATCAAAGGTTAGTACATCTGTCGGACTGTTCAGTCAGATAATACGCCGTTATCCTTATTTGTGACATAAAACGTCACGTCAGACTCGGAATCCAAGGCTGTCGGTATGTTAAGACTGTCTTTTATGGGTTCTGTTCGTCTTTGCTAAAACCCTGTCAGATAGCAAGATTTTAGGATTGTTAAGGGTCGGATTATCGAGTCACAACTTTATCTAAATTTGACTAGTTTATAGGGTCACGATTTGGGACATCAAAACTTGAATCACACATGAAAGGTTTTTCTTTATTTACTTGAATTTAAAGCAACAACACGGGACTTTCCGATATAATTAAACCAGTTCACGCATTAAGCCTTTCATCTCCAGGTAAATCTCACTGGAGTTTGAAACCCGGTTTCTGGGATGTTCTGACAGATGACTAGCGATGCATTTTAAGCAGCAACAAGGAGCGAAAAACTTAGGAAGCATCCAAGAATGTTTCTGATTCTCCAGATAAACAAAAAAAACTCAGCTTTTAGATAAAGTATTGGATTAATTCTCAACCCCTACTGAAAGTCGCACATCCTGATCCAAATTATTTGAAATTTCCGTTGTGGTAGGTTCCCGTAGTTTCCCGTAGTAAAGAAACGGTAACGCACAGAAAGCAGAAGAGAGGATGAAGCCAACTGTAATGATCAGTGGTTTATACTCCCGTTCTAAATTTAGTAAGTCAGACTAACTGTAGCCTGACCAGCCGGACGTAGACTTCGGGTTTCATTTCCACCAAACATTTCATGTGGTTTGTCTTCCTCTTCCTCTATCTGAGTGTTACTTTTTTTTCAAAATCCCCTTCACATCAAGAAACAAAAATCTCCAACACGCTGAAAATTTCGCGTTTGCCAAAGATTCGGATCGTGCAATAAGGGCTGGTTCATCAGCTGTTTTAATAATAGTGCTTTGCTCCCTAAATGCAAATGTTCCAACAAAACAATTCCACCCAACACTATTTGGCAGAGGCACCATTACTGCATCCTGGGCTTAACACTGCTCAAGATGACTGGTTAACAGAACTACAAACAAGCCAGAGCTTTTTTCCCCTTTAGCAGAATGATAATGAGGTACAGTCAGACTATTCTCCAGGAGCTATTAGTTTGAGTAACATATCTTCCCAAGCCCAATCCTAAGATTAGGATCAGGGCCAATTACGGGAATTTTTAAGCAATTGGTGTCAGCACAGGTGTACGCCGGATCTGTTGTTACGCAGAAACGTGAAAAGGAACAACTAAAAGGTCATTTGAAGTTTCAATAGTACGTGAAATCACTGTTCTTAACCATCCTAGCCTAGATTTACACTTGTTTGCTGGACTGATGTCAGTAAGCCTCACAGAAGTCTTCATCTCGGTGCTCCTCTACGAGCTAAACTCCCATAATGCTCTCTGCTCGCCAACATATGTGTGCTTGTTCTGGTTGCTACAGTATTAAAGAATAAGCGGCTCCCCCTGGTGGCCCAACCAGGTACTACAGCTCGTCTACAATACTCACAGATGCAAAATATTAAAATGAAAAACTTGATCAGGACTTCTGTAATTTGAGCTTTACTGTCTCTACCATATCATTACCACATTAAGGGTCAACGGATGCACAAAACAACTGCAAGATATAAAAAAAGAAGGCAAGTAAAGAAGATGAAAATGCAGGTAAACTGGCAGGTAGATACCTCAGATATGTATGGACGAACCAGTCCATCAGCACGAAGGAGTTGTTGGAGGAGCTGACGTTCTGGATCAGACCATGCAGGTGATCAAAAGTGTGACGGTGGTAGCAGTCGACCACACAACCCATCATCCCCCTGGACTCAAGCAGAGGGCTGAGCATCGGGAACTGGTCAAACACAACTTCCTTCACAGTGCGCAGATGCACCCAAAGGTTCTGGTCCAGATCTGCAGGAGGCTTCGGGAATCTCTGGGACAAGTGCCTTCGTATGATGTGAACAACACGTTGTTGCAGGTTGTGTTGACCTGAGCAGCAAGCTCCGTCCCCGGAGGTGTTGGTGTTGGTGTCCGAATCCTCCCCGAGAAGCTCAAATAGCTCCTGAAGAGATCCGTCTTTCTCCTGCCGCAGGGGTCTTTCCTCCTCGGTGTTGAAGGCGTTCTGAACCAAGATGTCGGCATATCCTATGAAAGACAACGACATGAGTAGGGATTATAGGTGCACAACCCGATTCTTTAGTTGGAAGTTCAAGAACAAACCGGAGACATCTTGAGTTCATAAATGTAGAATTTATTTAGGTCACAAGTAAAGTGAGGCAGTGCTGGGCTCGGAGTGACAGAAGGAGCCCCGATATCTGAAAATGATTTATCTTCTTGGGCTGGGCCTGCCCCGAAAGAGGCTGGACGAGAACCAGTTACTGTGACGTGAACAGGCCAACCACAGTTCATGTTGAAGTTCAGAAACAGACACTATTTGGATTGAATACAAAGTGTGCATGTGTGTGTGTGTTGTCCTGAAGGTGTGTATCTAAAGTAACTGATAGAATGGAGGAGTTTCTGGTGTTTCCCAGCATGTGGACCAGTTCTGACCGGTCTTGTTATCTTCAAGGACGGACATTGTACTCAATAGCAAAAGAGGATCATAGGTTCAGTGGAGAAATACAGATTCAGATACATGACAGCCAATTATAACAACAATAGAACACCTGTTTAGAAGATAATGACTCATTTTGGAACTGGTCTCATCCAAATCACAGAGCAGGTATAATTAGAGTCATATTGGCAGGAACAAGGATATTATTGGCTTTTAAAACCACTGTGTCACAGTTTTACCGTTTTCCTGTTGCGGTGGAGCATTTGGGCCGAACCAAGACGGCGGTATGGTGAAACCAACCACACTGGAGTCAGTCGGTTCCATTATTTAGCGTTATTTTCACACTTTGGATCGTAACCGCTGCGTTCTGTCGTTTTCAGAGGCTGTTTTTTCTGTCGCTGTCGTTTCAACCGTTTGGTTTTCATCCACTGTTGTAGCGTTCACTCGCCGTTTACTTTCACTTTCAGTTGCTGTTTAGCTCTTGTTTCCAATCACAACGTTCGTTTTTAGCTGCTGTTTAGTTTTCAGTCACTGTTTTCTTAAATTTTCA